TCCCCATCCCCGTCCCCGTTCCCGCCCCGCTCCATGCCCGCTCGGTGCCCGCTCCCGCGGGCCTTGGCCGCGCGCCTGCCCGGAGCCGCCCCTGCAGCGGGCGCCCAGGCCCGGCCGAGCCTGGCACGGCTCCCGCGCCTCGTTCCCACGTTCCCGAGCCRCGGGAAGCCAAGCGGGAGGCAGGAGGCGCGGAGCGCGGCCCGGGGGGCGCGGGGGGCCCCGCCACCCTGCACCACCCCCAGCCTCGCCGCCTCCCCAGCGCCTACTCGCGCTTCCGGGAGCTGCTGCCGGCCGAGCAGCGGGACACGGCGCGCGCCGCCCGCCTGCCCGCGAGCCGCGTCCTGGCGCTGCCCGAGCTCAGGGTACGTGCGGGCCGGGCTCGGGGTGCGGGCGGGCCGGGGGCCGCGCTGCCGCCGCGCTGAGCCGCCCCGCCGCAGGCCAACCCCTTCCGGCACCGCATCTGCCGCGTGTTCTCCACGGCGGAGGACGGCAGCGACAGCCTGTCCTTCGAGGACTTCCTCGACATGCTCAGCGTCTTCAGCGACGCCGCCACCTCCGACATCAAATCCCACTACGCCTTCCGCATCTTCGGTGACGAGCGCGCGGCGTCCCCGGCGGGGAACGGGGCCCTGTCCCGACACTGCCTCTGCCCTCGGCCGCGCGGCAGGTCCTGCCAGGCCCCGCCGTCCCAACGGGGAACGTAACTTTCCTCTCCCACAGACTTCGATGACGATGGGACCCTGGACAAGAAGGACCTGGAGAGCCTGGTGAACTGCCTGACGGGGCAGAGCGAGGAGTCGCGGCTGAGCGACGCCGAGATGGAGCAGCTCATACAGAACGTGAGTGCTGCCAGCCTGGCTCAGCCGCCGGGCCGGCCCCGCCAGCCGCTCACCRTTCCCAACGCCCAGATCCTGGACGAGTCGGACATCGACAAGGACGGCACCATCAACCTCTCCGAGTTCCAGCACGTCATCTCTCGTTCCCCCGACTTCGCCAGGTACTGGGGCCTCCCGCCGCGCCGTCCCTGCCCGTCCGCGTGGGGAGCGCGGCCCTGGCTGCGCAGGCGCAGAGCTCGCGTCGCTGCAGAGCCGCGTGTCTCTTGCAGCTCCTTCAAGATCGTTCTGTGACGGCCCCGCGGCCGAGCTGCTCCTCGGGCTGCTCCTCCCGTCTCCGACGCTCCTCGAGCTGCGAGYGGCGGCGGAGGCTCCCGCTCCGAGTGCCAAGCAGTGCCTTAGGGCGCAGGAGGCGCCGTGGGCTGCAGCCCGCGCAGGAGCAGCTCCGCTGCCACTGCCAACTCCTGCACCCACCGCGCGCGGCTGCAGCCCCTGCGCCGCCCCGGCCTCGGCGCGCACCGGGAACCGCCTGCGCGCAGCAACGGCCGTTTCTTCCCCAAAGCAATAAGTCCTGCCCGTGGGCACGGCCACCAGCACCAGCATCCCGCGTGCCCAGGACTGGCACGGAGCCCGTGGAGCCTCTCCCCYCGCTTGGGGCCTGGCGCTTCCTTTTCCTTCCTTCCTTCCTTCCTTTTTGTCTCTGCTCTGCCCTCCTCTCCCTCCGTGCCGCTGGCTCCGGCTCAGCGGTGGCTCTGGCTCTGCTCGAGGCTGCTGCTCTGTGTTCCTGACAAAGGACAAATAAAGGGCTCGAGTTTCAGGGCTGGCTGCGACTCTGTGTCCCCCGCGCGGGGCGGGATGGCCGCAGTCCAGGCGGGGGGCGCAGGCCCTCCCGCCGCGCTGCCCCCACGGCCACAYGGGGCAGGGCCCAGGACCCGCTGTGGGACACGTCCTTCCCGGAGCCACCTTGTCCTCCTCCCTGTTGTCATCGTCATCGTAGCCCGGCCAGGCCCAGGGTGCTCCGCTGCTGCACAAGGAGCCGGGTGCTCCCAMGCAAGTGGCACCAAGGGAAATGGAGGGCAGCGGCAGCCACCCGTGCCCTGGGCACCACGGAGCCCTGGGCGGCTGTGCCCAGCAGCACCACGGAGCCCTGCGCGGCTGCCAGCGACACGGAGGGTTGGGGGCAGCGCGGGGGGCCGCGGCGGCTCCCGCAGCCCTCGGGGCCGGCACCGGGCCAGGGGCTCCGGAGCGCTGCGCGCAGCACACACAGAGCAAAGGGGACACAGGGACTTTATATAAAAACCACAGACGTTTCTGCACACACACAGCGGGGCGCGCGGCGCCGTCCCCCCGCCGCCCCGCGACACGATTCACATTTCCGACGTATGAAAAACGCACCAAGCACGGACACGCACAGCACAGCCCCGGCRCCGCGGGCGTCACAGTGAGCGGGGCGCGCGGCGGCCGCCCCCGGC